AGAATGGTTGTCCTTCTTTAAAAATTAATATAACTTTTTTTTGGCTGGTTTTGAGTTATTTAAGTATTTTAAAAAGGGATTTCTACCATTTTAAGGAACCTGTTCTGTAATTCCTTTATACTTAAAGGACTCATATATAGTTTTGCCATCCAACTTGAGACTTGGCAGGGTTGTAGTGCACAATGTCTTACATGTTTGGTTTAGTAAGTGTTACAAACATGGTCTGGAGACCTTTGATGTTATAAACTGAACACGAGACAAAGAAAACTGTACAGAAGGCCTATTCCTGCACTCCTTTTTGATATTCTGTATGTGCTGGTCTTCTTTCAGCCAAGTGCCTAGTGAAAGCAATTGACAGATTTAGGGTCAGGAAATTTCCCACCCCTTCCAAGTCCTACTGACAAGGACCATTCCTTCCCCCTGCCCTTTCTCTCTATAGCAGGGCTTTTCAACTTGTGAGCTGTGGGCTGCATTTAGCCCACAAGCGGTTAATTTGAGGCTTGTGGGCTCCTGATTGGGAGCTGTTCCTCCTCCCATCCTCCAACTTCTGCCTTCTGCTCCGTCCTTGGGGGAAGGGTGAGGTAGCTTGTGGTGCCCAGGGAATCCATGGGTCAGGGGGAGACTGAGATCCTCACACAAAGGGGAGGCACCTGCATGGTGAAGTGCAGTGGGAAAGGATGCTGGCAGCATGATGGGAGGCTCATGCAACATGTGGCCAAAGTGGAACAGCCCTGATCTACAGTATAGGTTGTATTTGTCTTCCTAGGAACATCTGAGAATATAGTAATAGCATATTAATACTAATACATTTCTTGCTGCCCTCTATGCAGGGCATTGGGAGTGCCCATCCCTCCCCTGCTCTCTTCCTGTGGCACATTGTTGGATTTGTTTTTAGTGTGCTTTGTGGTTGAAGCATGTGAGAGGGCTCAGGGTAGATGGACCCTTTGAGCAAATGTCTGTAAATGCACGGGACAGGATTTGATGGTCAGGGGAGCTCCTTCCAGTCCTATGTCTCTGTTTCAGTGAAAGCGTATTTATTTGCACGGTTGGTCAAATAGATGCTCTCTCTTTGAAGAGACACGGTCTCAAGGAAAAATGGTTAATACAACAGTGAAGCTGAGATTCTGAACCCAGAGATATCAAGTGATTCAAGTTGGTTGCCGTGATTCCTTGTGTTCAGCCTCATTGCCCAGGCCAATTACATTCCTAAATCACATCAATTACTAAACAAATTCATTAATGTGAAATATTCCTTCATTATAGGGGGTTCACAGCAATTACACTAGAAATGTAATTTTTTTAATGTACTGACTTCTATAATCTTAACCATAATATTCCACTAAGTAAGCTTCCTCCGAACTAACAATCAGCTTTACTGAACCGTTATAGAGATGCAGTATTCTGTTTCTTATTGTGCTGCTCACTATAAAAGTTTTTGGTGAATTTAGTTGGGAAGGGATATAGACAAGCTTTTGGAATAAGTACTTGGCACCCAGAAGCTTGTCTATATCCCTCCTAACTACACAGATGGTCCAATAAAACATACCACCTACAAAAATCCTTCTCTCTCCCCTACAATTGACATTTTTGTCTGTCTGTTAATTAGCAGATATTTTGTTTGTTTCAATGTTAAACTTAATGGGTCAGTGCAATTAATAACCAGGGAAATGGTACTTGAGAGTGAATGCAATAGTGGCTTACCTGAAGAAAGTAGGGAAATGACTATTTGACTCTGTTTTGTTACCTTGTAACCTAGTTTTAAAACTTTTTGTGACCAAAATACTTAATTTTAGAACGAACATGTCAAATGGGGTTTACAAAACTCCCATTGATCTCAAGCAACTTCTGTAACTTTGCATGTCAGTAAAATGGACAGGAAAAGGCTCCATTCACATAATTGTAAGGAAGAAAAGGTACGGAAATCTAATAATTGGATTGTTAAACCAACTATTTTTTCACATTGAGACTATAAGTGACTTGTAGTGCTACCCACATTGGGCCCTCATGGATCCCATGCATTATAAAAACAGTTAGAAAGAAACTGCTATACAGATTTTAAAAATCCTTGCAAAGTATTGTTCTACTGTAGGAGTAGTGCTATTTTTGGCCGTAGTGCTGAAAAAACCACAATGTGTACCTTGTAAGGTGCCGGAGTGACAGCATGCCAGACAAACAAATCTGGAGTGCAGGATACATAGCAGGATGCACTGCATATTAATATAGTTTATAATCATAAATATTGCTCTTTTGCAGCAAATACCAGGTTTTCTAAAAATTCTAAACCTGGTGACAATACTATCTTTGTTCTTGTGTATTCTTTTTTTGTTAAGCATGTTGTGATGAGAGGAAAAAAACAGAAAGAAGAGAAAAAGGGGGGAAGAGAAAGACAAAAGCAAAAAGAAAAAGAGAAGAGAATGAAAGAGAAAAAAGAGAGGAGAGAGAGAGAAAAAGGAAAGAGAGAAAGAAGAGAAAGAAAAAAGAGAAAAGAGAAAAAAGGAGAAGAAAAAGGGAAGAAAAGAAAAAAAGAGAAAGACCGGCAAGTGAGAAAGAAAGAGAAGAGAGTAAAAAAAGGAAAAAGAGAAAGAGGGTGTGTCCCTTACTGGTCATGTCTCCCATTGCTATCAGCTGCAGCTTGGGCCCACTGGTCCAGCGCAGTGTCTGCGGAGGGTGGCAGTGACACCTGAGCAGCACCCACCAGGACCAGGGTGCTCAGGCCTCCTCGACAGTCCTGGAGTGGGGGGAGTCTGGGCCTAGGGCTGGGAGGGAGGGCCCAGCCGGGGCTTGGGCAGGCATGCCCCTCTCACCTGGGTGGGGACAGCACTGGGGTGCCAAGCACCAGGGCCATGTGCTTAGGGCAGGGTCTGGGCAGCACGGGGAGAAGTACATGTTGGGGGAAGAGCCATAGGCAGGCTAGTCCGGCCGGGCCCTTGGGAAGGTGGCAGCTGGAGGAGAGCCGGGGCGCAGGAAGTGAGCACTGCCCTGGGGCTCTGTAGATTCAGGCCCTGGTGGGTGGGCGGGCAGGTGTGCCTGGTGGCACCCAAGGTGGGGCCTGGCCTGGCCTGCGCAGCCCCATGGGGATGGGCCACAGCTGCCCTGCCTGCGAGGGGATGCTGCCTGGCCAGGGCAGGATGCTGGGCACAGGGGCCTCCTGGCTCTCGGCACAGCAAGAGTGGGACACAGCCACCCCCAGTGCAAGGGCCTGGACACAGGAGCACCCAGGACCCTGGGAACAGCCACTATGGGCAGCATTTGGGGCCGAGCCAGCTGGGAGCCTCCAGCACAGCGGCCCTCCACCGTGCCTGCCCAGGCCCCAGCTTCACCCACCCGCAGCTCCCCACCAGGGGCCGGGCTGGGCTGGAGGGCACAGCCCGGGATGGGGGGCAGGGTCAGCAGAAAGCAGACAGCCTCCCTGCCTGTGCTGTCCTGACTCTGCCCCTGCGCTGCAACCTGTGGCTGCTCCCAAGAGCCCGGAGCAGCAACTTAAAAAAAAAATGTTTTTAAACAATTTCCTCTCATGCCTCCTGGCATGCTGAGGAAAATGTCTCCACGTGCCACTAATTGGCACTAGGGTTGCCAACGGTGACTGAAGCTATTCCGGGAGATTTTTTTTCCCCCAACGTGACGTAATGCCATTAATTGTACTGTTCAGCCCGTTCACAGTATCAGTCTCCTGGATTGCTTTCAATAGTCACCGGGAGATCAGTGCCGATTCCAGTAGACTTCCGGCCAATCTGGGAGGGTTGGCAACCCTAATAGGCACGCATACCAGGGGGTGCCTATCCCTGTTCTGCTGTCATTAAATGCATCCTTCCTGAACGTAAGACATGTACGACTAATATACTGATCAAACGGAGATAACTATGAGCTAAATGAACTAGATATAGTTTCAGACACTCTACCCATCTGGTGACAGTATTTGTAACTGTTTCAATCACATTTTCATTGTTATTAAAATGTTTCTCTCCTCATTTCTCATGTGAAAGGCTCATACTGCTAATGAGGGAACCTGACTGACTGCATGAGTCAGTGGCAAAACAGTATGCACAGTTATACACAGAGTGCTATCAAAGGCATGAAGTAAACACAGTGGAAAATAGAAAAGGCATTTTTTTTCATGCTAATCCCTTCAAGGTTTAGCAACCCCTAGGTGTAACTCATAACTAGGTTCAAACTGTGATTTTAAGTTGACGGTGCCCATGTCATTATTCTATGTTCTGAGTAACAGGGTCCCCCACAGCTAAATGAATCAAGCCCACCACTTGGCTTTGGTGAAAGTCTTGCATGAAACTTTGCAGAACCTTGTTCTGTAACAAACTACATGTCTGGGTTGCAGCTGCTTCTCCAGTCCCCTCCCCCCTGAGCAGCGGGTGGAAGGGAAAGAGGAAGGAAAGAGGAATCAAATTGTCTTGTGTTGCTGCTCTCTGCCAGAACTTTTCTTTACCCCCAGCCTGGAAATCAGAAAGCTAACAGCGTCAGAGACCCACAGTCTGCCCAGCCTACTGCTCCCCAGACACCTCCTAGAGATCCACTTTGCTGCCTTCTAAGACGACACTAAGCAGGTGAGAGCACAGATCTGGAGGAGTTTTGTTGCCACTATTTCTTTGGCAGTTGCAACTTAGGAGGATGATATGATGGATAGGAAAGAGGGGCAGACAGATCTAGGGACTGCAGCTATGACAGAGAAACAGGGAGAGGAGGCCGGGATAGGATAGAGGGACCACTCTGGATTGCCCTTATAAAGGATTGGCTGGATTGCAAAGGGGGGCTGTGTCAGTGAAATCAAGGGGAGTTTTGCGACTGACTTCAGTAAATCGAGTCGCATTGTGCTCTTGGTAGCAAGGCAAGGAGCTTCCTATTGGTCTGTCTTGCCTGCTTTAGAAAAGGAAACACAGCCTCAGCGCACCAGATCTGAGTGCTGGCAAAGTGCAGCGTGAGATTTCTGTGCAAGAGAGACCAGAAGAGCTAGAAATGTGAGAAGCAAAAGCAAATGTTTTTGTTACCTTTTGATATACTGGGAGCAGCACTGGAGGGGGTGATCACCTCCTTGGCTTTTGCAGACGTACTTGAAAGTTAACTGCTTCTCCGGACTTTCCCAGCTGAAAGGAGAAAAAGAAACTTTCTCACACCGGATGTAAACCCCAGGGGGTGAGGAAGTGAATATATCATTTTTACTGTCATTGAATGGGATAGGTCTTTTCTTGTTCAGAGACTGAGGTTTGCGTGGGACTCTGCATTCACTAAGACTTGCCTTCCTCTTCCATTTAAAATGATTTTGTTTCTACTTTTCTGAGGATATATGTCCCCTGGCTCCCTCCATCCTATAGATTGGTGGGTATTCATCAGGTCATTCCCAGGCAGTTTTAGGACTTGACCCTGCAATTGAAGGCAATTGAGATTTTGGAACAGGACTAAGCCCTGAAGAATCTGGTCCCTTGATGTACATCCTAGGCTAGAAGTTGACAACCTTTCACCAACTCTTCAGCCAAATTACTACAGCTCATTCCTAAGGCAGACCACTGCTGTCCACCTGGCCACTGCACATGTCCCCTGCTGTTACTGCTGCTGATTCACTGCCATTGATTTTCCCCACTGCCACCTTGGAGGGCTGGGTAAAAATCTCTCCATGGGCTGCAACTGGCCCACAGGCCATAGGTTGCTGACATATTTCTTAGACTCACCAGCTGGCATGTCAGCTGGCGGTATATGTATTCTCAAGAAAAGGAAAAAACTGTAAAAAAAAATAAACCTGGGAAGATATACCATGTTTACTCGAATACAAGATGACCCTTAATATAAGATGACCCCCCCAATAATTAGATTCTATATAAGGAAAATGTATATATTTGTTATAATTTTCCAGGTACAGAATCTAATTATTGGAGGGTTGCCTTAAATTTGTCCCCCTCCCACTTTTACTGCAGGGAAAATAAATCTTGAGGGGGAGGAGGGAGGGTTGTCAGGTACCCCCCCTTGCCCTCACTGAATTTCTTCCCTCTGTAGTCCCTTTCCTCCATTCTTACTGTCAGCCCCGGCTTTCCCTGAGCACTTGGAAATGCAAATTTCAAACCACTGATCTTGAAATAAGCATACCTGTAATTTGCATATAGATTTAGTTCACCTAGAATTGATGCATTTCACACTTTTTAAAACTGCTGCAATTTTTTGTAAAAGGACTCCGTAAACACATTTTTAAAACAGTACTTTTGTACCAACTTACATATAGTATGAACTGGGTGTGTCTACAAGTGAAATGAATGTTACCGAATAACCTCTGGTGCAATTCATACCGTAGTTTATTGCTCCTGGGTATACTGTTTACAGTGCCCCTGTGTCTGCTGCATGTTGAACCACAGCGGCTGTTCAAACCTGGATCAACATGCTGTAGACGGACTGGCTGGGGCATAAGGGTGCTTCAGTGCAGGGCTACCCAGCAACCTTTGTGCCCCAGCCAGGCCCATCAGCACCCACATGTGCCTTGTGGCATTGTAAATAACTCTGGCAGTACTACCCCATGGTGGAGTTAACTAGTTTATTTCATCCTAATAACACCATACATGTAGACAGTGATGTTTTCCTGTGGAGAGAATTAGTCAGGTACTAGATTAACTGCACAGTTTGTCCAGATGTGTATGGGGCAGGACTGCTCTGTTGGCTGCAGAGGCAGCTGTCTCCTGGCCCCATGCACATCAGGATCCCTCCAGATGTGCGTGGGGCCAGGAGACAGCTGCTGCTGCAGCCAACAGAGTGCTCCTGGCTCCATGAGCATCACGACCTGTGTCCCCTACAAGCCCCTGGGCTAGCATCCAGGGGGAGCCTGGCTGCTGCAGGGCAGCAGAGCAGGGTAGAAGCAGCCCTGTACTGGGCTGCTCCCACTAGGGTGCACATAGGCTTACTGCACAGTAAGCCTATAGCACTTTAATAGCATGTGTACATGCGCCCTTGGAGGATAGAATTTAGCTCTGTATTTAAATCCCCTGCTTATGTTATTTAGGCATATGTATTATAGTGGTGTCTTTAGTGGTTGAGAACTTCTTTATAATGTGGAAATGTACAAACAACTTTATAATAGCTTTGACTGGGACATGACATCCTGGGGCACAGATAGACCTGATGATCTAAGTTCTGTTGTCAACTACTTCTTCTTACAAAAATGAATGTCTTCTCATGTGTAATCTGGCTTAGTGGACCCTCTGATGTTTCAGTTTTTTTTGTCAGCAAATATTAAATTAGAATATAAGGAAAAATAAGTTCTAGGATGACTGTATCGGCATCCTAACTTGTCAGCAAAAAATCCACGGTAGTCCTCTCCTTTGTGATGCCAATCATCAGGGCTAAGTACAGACAGTCAAAAAGCCCAAGGGTGAATTGATTCAGTCTTTGCAGGTTAGTTTAAGATGCAGAGATTAATCTGCAAAACAACTGGACAGACATTTACCTTTGATTCAGGAAATGCAGCCACATGCCTGCATTGGCTCAGGTCAGAAGCCAAAGGGTGCTACAGCACAGCTGTCTAGAATACAGCTAGCATGGGCTGTATGTTCACTTCCTCTTCCTGCTGTCCCTGAGGTCTCTGGGATTTGTAGTCCACAGTTGCAGCCAGCAGTAAATTTGAGTGGGGGAAGGGGTGTTTACCCCCCACTCCCTGGCCCCAGACTCCAGCCAGGGTTTGCCAGAGGGGAGCGAGCAGTGAGCCAGCTAGGGAGCAGAGGGGCAGGACCAGCCCCCCTCTGGAGCAGACAGCACAGCCCAGTCCAGGGTTGCAAAGCTTTCTGGGATGCAGGAGGACTTTGATTTAACTTGAACCAGGAAGAGGTCTGGGACAGAAGTTTTGTAAACTGGTTTGACCTAAATCACTTAAGTCTGATACTACATTCAACCAGGTTTACCTTAAAACAGTTTCAGCCATTTTGAAACTGGTTTATGTGCACTGAACTTCTGTTCTGTTACAGGTTTAAACCAGTTTCTGATCACTTAGACCAGTTTATGTGTAACTTCTGTCCCTAGCCCAAGGCTCTGGGACCTTTTGCTGAAAAATTTGAGAGCATTATAAATGGAGACATTTTGGTATGCATCTCCCATGAGTGAGAAAGCCTCCATTGTCCTAATGCATGCAAAGCTCAGAAAAAAAAGTCTGTATTCATTGTATTCATATAAGTAATTGGCCCCAGTCAGGGCAGGGTTTAATATTTTTATATTTCCTTGTAAAATTATATATTTGCACAAAAACAATATCCAAAGAAATTATTGAGTTTGCAAAAGTCAAGCAGTCAAAAATTGGGAAAATGCCAGAATAGAGTCCAACCTTACTTCATCCTCTTATACATTTTGACAGTCTTTAATTGTATGATCACTTGGTTTTTTTCTGTGGGACTCCTGTCTCATTCAGTGTACAGAATGGACTGTGATCTGGAGATGAATCAGAGTTGTATGGGAATGGAGGCTGTTGTCTGTAGCATCCCTGCCTCATTTGTTACAGGTTGGGAGACAGAAAATGATGGAAGCAGTAGACTGCAGGAATAGAAGTTAGAGATTCATGTTTAAGAAAACTGAACACTGCCTGGGAGAACTGGATTTTATCTCTGCCTCTCCTTCAAAGCCTCCTTGCGATACCAGGAAGTCAGTTAAACCAGGAATGTCACAAATTGTGAGTTCCTCATGTTGTGGTCCTTCAGGCCTCAAGACCCGGACTTTGTAGAAATGTGGAGCACTCAGAACTGTAGCAGAAGACAGTGGGCATAGAAGTTGTATATATAATACCATACAATGTAATGTTGAGTACTTGGCAAAATCAGGAACTATGCCTCTCAAATTGGGCATCCAATTGATATTTATTACCTTAATTTCTGTGCTTCAGTCCCCCAACAAGTAAAATTGGGATAAAAATGTTCCCTTCCTTATGGAGAGTCTATGCAAATAAATTAATACCTGTGAACCGTTTGGATACCCATAGTATAAGTACAAGAGAAAACGAATAATTCTGTCTTCAGAACAGGGTGTGCAGTAAAGAAGGCCTAGGGCTGTATATTGAACACTGAAGATAAAACAAAATAAGGAATATCTGCTTACTGAGTACCATTCATACTGTGCACTGAATGAGGCAATGATCCTGCAGAAAATAAATACCATATGAATATGAAATAACAGATCAAGTCATCATGCATATACTCAAAGAGGCTGATACACCCTTTGGCATTTCTTATGTTTGGAAGGGTTGACTTTGCAACATTAATAGTGTTGTTTTATTTTATTTTTCTTTTAGTGTGCAATGTGTTGTGAAACTCTGGCTGCCCCACTGCTGCAGGGCATGGGGTCCAGCTGGGCTGCAGCCTTGTGCTCCACAGGTGGCAGTGGCAGCTCACACCAAGCCCACACAGGGATGGTGGGAGGAAGCATGCACTGCGCTTGTGCCTGCTGGGCCGGGTGTCCTCAGGGCAGGGTTGGAGGCTGCAGCTAGGGGTGCTGCCCAATCGGGGCGGTGTCCAGCCAGAGGCAGGCTCAGCCCCAGTCAAAGGCTTCCCAGAAGGTCATGGGGATTGCCGGGCCTGGATGCCAGTCCTCCACCTCAGAGCACGGCAAACCCTGTGCCAGGGATGCCCAGCTTAGTCCCCATTGCCTTGCTCCTCTGTGTTTGGGAGCAGGGTTGGAGGCTGGAGCTTTGCAACCTGTCCAGTCCGCATTCACTGATGGCTCCTCCTTGTAGCAGGCATGGTGGGCTGACAGGTTGGATCTCCCGACCAAGCACATTGTGACTGCACAGCATGAGGAGGAATGCTGCCCCGGGCCCCATGCTGGGCTGGGGGTGGGCTGTGGCTTCGGAGTGAGAGGCAGCAACATAGGCAGGGGCAGAGCTGAGCAGTGTGTCAGGGCTGCTCAGCACCACAAAGCAGCAGAGGAGACAGCCGCAGCTGGACCCACGTTCTGGTGAGCAAAGGGGGCAGGGGGAGCTCTGATTTTCCATGATAAAAAAACCAAAATCAAACACCAAAATATATGGGTATTTAGAATTTATTTTACTAATTTAAATTGCTTTAAAATTATAAATATCTCAATAAAACATTATGTTCAAATGATACTCACACATGCGCACACACACACA